CTGGCAGCAAGGAGGGCAGGGAAAACTATTCCAGCAGCTGTAAGGGTAGGGAAAACTACTTCAGCAGTTTGGGGGGCCCGGGAAAACTATTCCGGCAGGTGTAAGGGCAGGGAAAACTTTTTTCTGTAGGTGGAAGGGCAGGGAAAACTATTCCGGCAGCTTGGGGGCCAGGGAAAACTATTCAAGCAGCTGGGAGGGCAGGGAAAACTTTTTCGATAAGTAGGAGGGCAGGGAAAACTATTCCGGTAGCTGGGAGGCCAGGGAAAACTAGTCTGGCAGCAAGGAGGGCAGGGAAAACTATTCCAGCAGCTGTAAGGGCAGGGAAAACTATTCCGGCAGCTGGGAGGGCAGGGAAAAATAGTCTGGCAGCTTGGGGGCCAGGGAAAACTATTCCAGCAGGTGTAAGGGCAGGGAAAACTTTTTCGGTAGGTGGAAGGGCAGGGAAAACTATTCCGGCAGCTTGGGGGCCAGGGAAAACTATTCCTGCAGCTGGGAGGGCAGGGAAAACTTTTTCGATAAGTAGGAGGGCAGGGAAAACTATTCCGGCAGCTTGGGGGCCAGGGAAAACTATTCCAGCAGCTGGGATGCAGGGAAAACTTTTTCGATAAGTAGGAGGGCAGGGAAAACTATTCCGGTAGCTGGGAGGCCAGGGAAAACTAGTCTGGCAGCAAGGAGGGCAGGGAAAACTATTCCAGCAGCTGTAAGGGCAGGGAAAACTACTTCAGCAGTTGGGGGCCAGGGAAAACTATTCCGGCAGGTGTAAGGGCAGGGAAAACTTTTTTCTGTAGGTGGAAGGGCAGGGAAAACTATTCCGGCAGCTTGGGGCCAGGGAAAACTATTCCAGCAGGTGTAAGGGCAGGGAAAACTTTTTCGGTAGGTGGAAGGGCAGGGAAATCTATTCCGGCAGCTTGGGGGCCAGGGAAAACTATTCCAGCAGCTGGGAGGGCAGGGAAAACTTTTTCGATAAGTAGGAGGGCAGGGAAAACTATTCCGGGAGCTTGGGGGCCAGGGAAAACTATTCCAGCAGCTGGGAGGGCAGGGAAAACTTTTTCGATAAGTAGGAGGGCAGGGAAAACTATTCCGGCAGCTGGGAGGGCAGGGAAACTAGTCTGGCAGCAAGAAGGGCAGGGAAAACTATTCCAGCAGCTGAAAGGCCGTTCCGTTCAATCCGGGATTGCATAACTTTGCTTTCGGTGGCTGGGAGGGCTGGGAAAACTATTCCAGCAGCTGTAAGGGCAGGGAAAAATATTCCGGGAGCTGGGAGGGCAGGGAAAAATAGTCTGGCAGCTTGGGGGCCAGGGAAAACTATTCCAGCAGGTGTAAGGGCAGGGAAAACTTTTCGGTAGGTGGAAGGGCAGGGAAAACTATTCCGGCAGCTTGGGGGCCAGGGAAAACTATTCCAGCAGCTGGGAGGGCAGGGAAAACTTTTTCGATAAGTAGGAGGGCAGGGAAAACTATTCCGGCAGCTTGGGGGCCAGGGAAAACTATTCCAGCAGCTGGGATGCAGGGAAAACTTTTTCGATAAGTAGGAGGGCAGGGAAAACTATTCCGGTAGCTGGGAGGCCAGGGAAAACTAGTCTGGCAGCAAGGAGGGCAGGGAAAACTATTCCAGCAGCTGTAAGGGCAGGGAAAACTACTTCAGCAGTTGGGGGCCAGGGAAAACTATTCCGGCAGGTGTAAGGGCAGGGAAAACTTTTTCGATAAGTAGGAGGGCAGGGAAAACTATTCCGGCAGCTTGGGGGCCAGGGAAAACTATTCCAGCAGGTGTAAGGGCAGGGAAAACTTTTTCGGTAGGTGGAAGGGCAGGGAAATCTATTCCGGCAGCTTGGGGGCCAGGGAAAACTATTCCAGCAGCTGGGATGCAGGGAAAACTTTTTCGATAAGTAGGAGGGCAGGGAAAACTATTCCGGCAGCTTGGGGGCCAGGGAAAACTATTCCAGCAGCTGGGAGGGCAGGGAAAACTTTTTCGATAAGTAGGAGGGCAGGGAAAACTATTCCGGCAGCTGGGAGGGCAGGGAAAACTAGTCTGGCAGCAAGAAGGGCAGGGAAAACTATTCCAGCAGCTGAAAGGCCGTTCCGTTCAATCCGGGATTGCATAACTTTGCTTTCGGTGGCTGGGAGGGCTGGGAAAACTATTTTAGCAGCTAGGAGGCCACGGAAAACTATTCCAGTAGGTGGGAGGCCAGGGAAAACTAGTCGTTACAGAAATCCTCTTCAAACCCATGTAAACCATGATGCACCGGCAGCAGCGCTCCCGGGGCTCGGATCGGATATGCCACCACCGGACGGTTCAGAGAGGCGCCTAGGGCGACTGCATACCAAATTTGGTGAAGATCGGGTAGCTTAAAGGTGAAATGCGTGCGGTTCCGTAGACGTCAACAGCTGAAAGGTAAAATACGTGCGAATCCGTAGAAGTTAATTGCCTAAAGGTAAAATGCGTCTCAAATATGTAGACGTGAATTGCCCAGAGGTACACTAGACGTAAAATACAAGAATTACATCTACGCTTATTAGAGGTAACTTTCTAAAAAGCTTTAGAGGTTTCTCGCGCCCTGGTACACGACGCGACCTTTACCTCAATGGTAGAAGTAAACTCCGTAGAGGAAAAAACGCGTAGAAAAATTTAGAGGCAAACAACCTAGACGCAATATATGAAATGTCTCTTTCGTAGAGGTCTATTTCTTAGAGGTACCGGGATCGTCTTGCTCGTGACCACGTGACCGGCCTGTAGCGCTCGTAGCGCCTGCGAGGCAGCCTGCGGCCCGGCCCGCGACACGCCGGTGTGTCGCGGGACGACCCGATGGCCTACCTCGCAGGCGCTTTGTAGACGGCCGCTTAAACCGCGCGTCACTTTGGAGCCGCGGTTTGACGAATCCAAAATCCAAACTTCCTGCGAGAAGACGTTCGCGTCCATCGGACCACCCTGGGACAAGAGACCAAGTTTCTAGATGGTCCCGAAAAAGTCCAAAAATGGTGGAGAGTGGTGGAGTCAACTCGTTGAATCACGCCCACGCCGTCAGCCTGGCTTGGCGCTCAACCGGTCGCGACTAGTGGTCGCCAGAGTTGGGGGTTCCAGTTCCGGCGAGAGCGTCAGGACCATCAGAACAAGGAAATGGAGCGATCCGAGCGGACAAACAAGAGACAGACAGAGCTTTCAAGTGGTGCGCGGAGGCACCGGGGCCACGGCACGTGACACGACGGTGATGCAGAGAGGATGACAAGGAGGATGACGAGTCCCTCGCGCAGCCTGGCGCAGTCCGGACATCAGGACGGCATGTCGCGACACCGCGGTCCTGTCGGCGCTGCTTCCGCCCTTTGCCCACACTGTTATCCAGCGGGTGCAGCGAATCCCTTTGCATGTCCCATCTCATTCGTTTGAACGCGGGGAAAAGCACTTGCGCGCAATCCTGCGTGCAGTACTGTGGAGCGGCCCTAGAAATCCCGTGGAACCCCATCAAATCTCTTCGGGGTCTTGGTGGCAGAGGGCGTGAAATCATTCGAAATCCACCTCAATGCGGCGAAACCTTTTCAAATTTTTTCGCGGGAAGAATATTGTGTCGACTGAAACTACGAGTGGTTGGTTGCGCCCTCGAATGCGACGTCGAATTTAAACGAACGCGACATCATTTACATGCTAACGAACGCGCCGCCACATTCGTTAGAACGCAGTGCCGGCGTGCACACGGACGGACCCGAAAAGCAGAGGATCATTTGTGGTCCTGGCGATCTCAAGTCGAGTGCATTGTGCACTCCGCACTCCACGCTCCGCCCGACCGTGGTGGAGTGGACGCGCCCCGCGCCCCGCCGTCCGCTCTGAGAGGGACCCTTATCCTGAGCCAGTGCCCTTGCAGTGTCTCCACATCGGCGTGCAGTCCGCCGGGTGAGCTTGTCGGCCCTTTGCTGCGAGCCCTTTCCTGTCCCCGCGTTGCTGGCGTGGGCCGCGAGGAGTTTGTGTGCCTGGCTTGTGCCTGGTTCGGCGAACCGTGAGGACCCCGACCAGGGCCCCGATGTAGGCCGCGGCGCTGCAGCCCGGTGTAAACGTGTAAACACGCTCTGGGCAGAGTGTTTGCGAGCGCTGGTGAGGGTGCAGCGGTGCAGCGAGCAGGTGAATCAGCCCGACCGCGTGGCCGCGTGGGGTGGGGGTGGGGGGGGGGGCAGGCTTGGCGGTGAGTGGATCGCTCGCCGAACGCGCCGAGGAGCCGCGCCGTCCGCGCGCCGCGCGTGCGAGTTGGGCGGCCTACCTTCGCGGCGCCGCGGTCTGCGGTCCCCCCGTCGGGACACGCCGCACGGCGCCGCAGTGGCGGAGCGCGGAGCGGGCGCCGCCGTCAGCTCATGGCCACGCCCGCCCGCCCAATCAGTGAAGCTACTTGTGTACTACTCATTTGCGGAGTTTTGGAACGCCCACTCGAAGGATTATGTCCTGCAAACTGTAACCGCCCTTAAAATCCCTGCCGGCTTATGGCCCATTACTGGCCCATCAGTGGCCCATCACGGGTCCGCGAGAGCCACCGCTCCACCACTCACCGCTCCGTTGTATGCATGCACCACTTCAACTCGAGGCTGAAGGGCAACTGGTGCGCTTGCTGCGCCTTTTCCTGCCCTTCCATTGTGCGGCTAGCGTTCATATTGTTGCGTGCACAGGTGGAGCTTGAAACAAAAGTGCAGTTTGGAGGGCCATGTTTTGACTAAGCGCGGGCGCTAGTAGAGCTTTGCAGTGCCCGTGAAGAGCATGTCCCTGTGCCCGTAGGCTGAAACCGTGTGTGACGTTGCCGGTGCGTTCTGTTCCAGGCGGCGACTCCGCTGGTGAGGCCAACATCTTCAAACTCTTGCTCCTACGGGCCGGGAGCAGCCAGCGGGGCCAGCCAGGCCAGCCAGGCCCGCAGCACGGCCTGCTGAGGAGCCCGCGGGCGGGCACCTCGGCGGCAGAGCAGCCACACGACGACGATGAGGAGGAAGGAGAGGAACCAGACGAACCGGGAGACGAGGAGCGACCCGGAGAGCATGACGACGACCGCCAAGACGGCGACGGAGAGGACGAACCTGAAGAGGACGGGCTGCCCGAAGTGAGCGGGGCGTACGAGTGCGACTCGCGCCGCTTCGAGGACTACCTGCAACTCTGCTACTCGGGCGTGTACTCCTCCTCCGAGCACCCCGACTCGACCGAGTCCACGCGGCCCGACCAGGCCGACCAGCGAGCCCAACAGACGCAGCAGAAGCACGTGCAGAGGCCACCGGTGCAGGGCGGCGCCAGCCGCAGCCCGGAGGCCTCCACCTCCGCCAGCCACTCCTGCAGCCGGAGCGAGAGGCCGCCCTCTTCGCCAAGGTCGTGGCCGGCCAGGGAGCCGTACTCCACCGAGCCGTACTCCACCGAGCCGTACTCAGAGCCGTACTCTGAGCCGTACTCCGCTGATCCGTACTCCGCTGATCCGCACTCCGCTGAGCCGTACTCCACTGGGGCGTACTCCACTGGAGCGTACTCCACTGGGGCGACCTCCACTGGGGCGTACTCCACTGAGGCTTGCAGCCGGCACCGCGAGGACCAGCCCACAGCATCTTCCCGGTACGCCACCACCACCACCACTACTAGCGCGTACCCGTCCTCCCCCGCACCGCGCGGAGGGCCGTCGTCCTGGTCAGCGGAGGCCGACGATCAGCGATTCCGGTCACGAGGGCGTCGGGAAGGCCGCGACGACGTCCAAGACAACGACGACGCGGCAGCGGACCGCGAGGTGGCACTCGTGTTCTCTGAGGACGTCGCCGGCGACTCCTCGCGCCCTGACTGCCACTGCTGCTGCTGCTTCGCGGGCCAGCAGGATGACTACGACCGCCAGCACGACGACGACGTCGACGAGGAGGACTTAGAGGTTCGGCAACTGCTGTCTGGGGGACTGCGTGGAGTGACCGACGCCGTCGAGGCTGCCACCACCAGCTTCTCGTCTTCGTCTCAGTACATCGGCGCATCGCCCCGGTACTCGGCCACCGCCTCCCCCAGTGCCTCCCCCAGCGGCCCGGAGCCCACGCCGTGCCTCGACACCCTCGAGGAGTGCTCCGAGGTGCTGCGGACGGACTCGGTGCCCGTGAGAACCGACTTCGGTGGCCTGGAAGACTACTGCTACGAGACGCTCGCCGACGTGACGGACTGCGACGAGGACTGGCTTGTGCCGGTGACGTGGTGCACTTGGTCGCGGGAGGGTAGCGCCGCGCCGGCTGCGCCCGCCGCGCTGCCAGCAACCACCATGGGGGACACCGCCAGCCCCAGCGGCCCTAGCGGCCCCAGCGCCGCGGAGCAGTCCCGCGCGAGGATCGCCCGCTACAAAGAGGAGCGCCGCCGCCAGCTCGAGGCGCAGTTCGGACCGCGGACGGCCGAAGGGCCGGGCGGCGCGCAAGGCGGCGCGGCCACGTCCAGCGACGAGGGGACGGGGGCCGTGCGCAGGCTGCCCGCCAGCCGCACCCAGGTCGGCCTTCGTCGACCGGCACCCCGCCGGGCCGCCGCCGCCACGAACCTGCCCACCCCCGGGGACTCTGCGGGACTGTCCTCCTCGTCCTCATCGCCGGGGCCCGCAGTCCGCACCACCAGGGCGTCCAGGCTGAGGGTCGCCCACGGCGGCGCCAGCGCCACGCCGACGTCGACGGCCTCAGGTATGCCCCCTTTGTTTGCTGCCCGACATGGAGTGGCTCGCCTGGAATGGGCGCGCCGACGCGCCGCGTCACCAAAGTAGTTTCTGGCCTTTTCGATAAAGCGGCGCGAGGCGCGGGGGAAGCCGGGGGGAGCAGTCGAACTACCGCCATGCCGGCCACACGCAGCCGCAGCAGCCGCAGCCACACCGCGACAGCGCGGCTTGGCGGCTCCTCAGTCCGTTTGCGTCCGCGCAGCGCTGCGCAGCCGCGCCGTCCAGCCGGTCCAGCTGGCCGTCCGGGTCATGGTGGGTCCCGCGTGGGATGCGGCGGCGTTGCTCGCGGTGCTGGTGATCGCGTTTTTGGCGTGTTTGGCGGTCATGGCCCTGGCGGTGGCGGTCGCCTCTCGCGGTGAGCTATCTTATCTGACGTGGGTGTTGGCGACGTGTTGTGTCGCTGTGGGCACGGGGCGCGTGCACGCATCGCTCGAAACTGAGAAGTAGTAGTGTGGGACGTGACAGTGCTCGGTGCTCCGCGTGCTCCGCCCCCGCCGCGAGGCTCTGGTTGCTGCCGGGGAGTTGTTGCTTGCGCCAAAAGGGATTGAGCCAGTGCGTTCGTCGCCGCGGTGGGTTGCGTCGTCGGATCATTTTCTCGCTGCCTGGAGTGGCTCTCAGATTGGGGTGTGATGTGGGGGGTGCATGTGCGCGGCGTGCCACCGCATCGCCACCTCACCGCACCCGACGCACGCACAGCGCGACACAGTCGGCGCCGTCGGCCGCCCCGATTCGAATTGACGCCGTGCCGCGCCGTGCTGGCTGCATCGGGCGGCAAGCGTGACGTGGCTGGCAAGCACTGCAATCAGAACGGGCGCGGTGGGAGCCTGCACGGCCTGCTGCGGGGGCGTCCGCCCGCCCGCCCCGCCCCGCCCCGCCCCGCCACACAATGGCGAGCGGCGTGCTGGCTGCGGCTTCCATCTCCATCCCCCAGCCCAGGGCCAGCACCAGGGCCGCCAGCCCCAGCCCCCTGGGCCCCCAGGGCCCCCAGGGCCCCCAGGGACCGGCTTAGCCTCACGATGCTCGCGGCGCTATCAGGTGTCTCCAGCGAACGGCCCGGCCCGGCTGGCCGGGCCCCTCTCGCAGAACTTGCAGTGGCGCGGCCTTGCAATCCGGGAAAGGAAAAATAAAAGTTGGGGTGAGAGGGTCTCTCCCCTGCGACCTGCCACCTTTTCCTCGAGCGAGATTGCGGAAATGACACGCCGGCCGTGATCCAGTTGCCGATTCGCGGGGGCCTGGTGTCGGCGCAGCACGGCGTGGCGCGGCCACGCGGCGACGCGGCACTTACGGGCGGAAAAGGAAGGAAACGAACGTGGCTGGCGGCAGGCTGCGGCAGGCGCCAACGCCGAGCCCCGCGGTGACGGCGGGTCCTTGTTTGGGGCGGCCAGGCAGGCCAGGCAGGCCGATCGGGCTGTCGCCATGTACGGGCTGCGGCACTGCGCGGCACCGCGCGGCACTGCCGATGACAGGCCCGTCCGGGGAAATGGGCGGAACGGCGCGGCCAGAGAAGCACGCCGAAAGGCCGCACACAGTGAATTTGCCAGAAGACCGGTGGAGGTGGCCGAAATCCCGGAAGCGTTTTGAGCTCCAGAGTTGCTAAACGGGACTGAGCCGAACGTGTGACCCCACTAATGGATTGCTCTCCGAACGAGGAATCCATTGGTGGGGTCACACGCTCGGTTCGAGTCCTGTTAAGTGACTCTGGAGCTCAAAACGCTTCGAGAATTTTGGCCAGCTCCGCGGTCTTCTGGTCGACTGTGGGCCTGGCCCCCAAGGCTGACACGGCGTTGGAGGGTGCCCCGGTGTCCGCTGTCCCGGTGTCCGCTGTCCGCTGTCCCGCTGTCAGCGCCGCTGATTGCTAATTGCAGGGGAAAACGGAGAATGGCAGAGTAATCACCGATCGGATCGGCTCGCAGCCAAACGATAGAGCGCTCCGGTTTAGGAGTGGCATTAAGTTCGCCTAATGGTGGACGATTGACTGAAAATAAAGCGGCAAGCGCGGGCGAATTTGGACAAGTTTTCCACAATTCTGAGCTGATTTCTCGACGTGGCCGGCTGAGCCGTGGCCGCGCGGTGCGGCCCCGAAAGAACTCGGCGCTTTTGTTGACCTTGTTAAGGAATTATTTCGTTTTCAGGAGCACAGCGACCGTCTGCCGGCCCCACTTCCACCGCCGCCACCCCCAGCCCGGCCAGCCACTATCTGACGTCGGCGTCTCCTGGAGGAGCCTCCCCCGCGCTGCTGAGTGCCCCCGCCTCGTCCGCCAGCCGGGACGGCCGGCCCGGCCGGGAGGTGAGTGCAGCACTGGAACTGTTGTGATGACAACTTTTAATCAGTCCCACAAGACGCAAAGTTGAACGCCGACGAGCACCGCCCAAGTTTTGCGTGTGATGACGATGACGATGACGACGCCTGCGATGCGGCCACTTCCCGGTGTCCAACAGGTGTTTACTCGGTGATTAAAACTTGGACGCTAACACTGCCCTCCGTTGCAGCTGCAGCAACTCAGCCCCTGGTCCTCGCAGTCCGCGTCGCCGCTGGAGAAGGACAAGAGCCACAAGCGGAAGTCGAACCTGAACCGCGCGCACACCGAGGAGGCCGCCGACTCCGGTGAGTGGGGTGACGGCCACGGCCTTGCCCTCCACGGGCGTCAAGGCCGCCGACAAGGCCGCCGTCAAGGCCGCCGTCAAGGCCGCCGTCAAGGCGTCAAGGTCGTGGTGCGCGGCGGTGCGCCAGCCTTGGCCCAGATCCGCGCCCCGCCCCACTGCCGCCTTTACGACTTGCTTCTGGCTGGACAAGCGAAGGCAAGCGAAGGGCCCTTTGGCCGCCCAGCCCGGCCTTCCCGGCCGCGCGCTCTGCGACCCGACCCACTTTGAGCGAGCTGCCGCGTGAGGGAGGCGCACCCGATATACCGGCATCGTCATCCCTGCTGATCGGAGCGCCGGTGGAATTCATTTTATCGGGGCATTTTTATGGGCCTGCGTATGCACGGCCAGCGCGGCACGGCCTGCGGCATGAGCGCCGCATGGGCAGTTCCACGAAGCTCACTGAGTGGCAAAACCCGGCAAAACCACGCCAGAATTCGAATGCGGAGGCGGCGATGGCCTGTAACTGAAGTCGTCGATTTATGGGTCCACCTCTTAAGACATTGTGAAACCCCGGCCCCAGCGCCGATTACGAATTTAAACTCGCGCGCTTCCTGCGAGGCTCTCTGCCGCTCAATGAGGATGGCCGCTATGGCCTCTATGTTTAAAATCCGACGACAACTCGACTGCCACTGTCCGTAGAATCCCTCTTAAAGACTTTTTAACATCAAACAATGTTCTTTTAATAAATTTCCAGCGAAAATAGTGAAAATTAAAATGGGAGGCTGAGAAAGGCGGTGAGAGGTCACGTGACCAATGGAGGATCTCTATTCGGCAGCCACTCGATTCGATTGTGTCGTCTACATTGTCTGCCGGTGTATGGCCGGGCATGGCAGTTGGGGGCAGGCCGGCCAGTGATTGAAACACGTCACTGGCGCCGCCTCGCCCCGCCAGAGTCGCTAAACGGGACTCGAACCGAGTGTGTGACCCTACCAATGGATTCCTCGTTCGGAGAGCAATCCATAGGTGGGGCACACGTTCGGTTCGAGTCCCATTCAGCGGTGTGCCGTGCCGCCCGCTCCACCGCTGCGCCGCGGAGGCAATCACCGTCGTCTCTGATTCCCACTAACGAGCTAGACACGATTGAGGAATTGCGGGGCGCTGCCGGGCCGACAGGCCGAAGGGCCGACAGGCCGAAGGGCTGACTGGACTGGCTCGATCCCGGCGTACAAAGCCAGCACAAGGGCCGCGCAAACAAAGCCGCGGGTACTCCGCACTCCGCGCCGCGCCGCGCCCGGAGTTAAACGGGCTTCAAGTGCCAGTGGCGGCGGTGAGCCCGGAGCCGGCCTGGCCGAAGGGCCCGGCGGGGCAGGGCAGGCAGGGCAGGCAGGGCGCCGTGGAGGCAGGCAGCTTCCGCTGCCCTGCGCCGCGGGCGGGGGCGGGGGCGGGCATGGCCGCCTGATGCCTGTTGCGGCCGACCATCGGTAAACCAGCCACGCCTCGCCACTACCAGCCTCGGGCCTTGCTGGCTTTGATGCACGCAGGCTGCATCTGTCGTCCTGTTCGTTTCAATCCAATAATAAGCCGATAATCCTGTTCCGCCTGCCTTTCCTGCAACAGCGCTGCCTCCCCTCTCCTCTCCCCCGGGGACGGTGGCCCGACCGTGGCCCGCGCACTGGAGAGCATGGAAAGTAAACGGCTGATTGCACCGTGTTGCTCTCTCTCTCTCTCTCTCTCTCTCTCTCTCTCTCTCTCTCTCTCTCTCTCTCTCTCTCTCTCTCTCTCCCTTGCATCCCGGGGCGGCTCGCCACTTTGCGCACACAGGGTGAGTGGCGCCCTGGGGCGGGCAAGGGGCAAGGGGTAGCGGGTGGGTGGGTAACTGGGTCGCTTAAAGAGGAAAGGGAGCTGGCCGTGTCAAGAGCAGCGAGCAGGCTCGGCAAACATGCACTCCCCCGCCGTGCAGGGTCCGGGCCGTCCAGGCGGTCCAGGTGCAGCCGGGCGGCTTTGCTTCCGGCTTCCGCTCCCAGATCCCCGCTTCCGGCTGCTGGTTCCCGGCGAAGGCTTCCCGCTCGATGCTGCTCGATGTGGACCGTGCTTTTGAGCGTTTGCGCTGACGTCTCCAGCGAGGCAGCGCGGCCAGGTGATCTATTGATGGGGCGGCGACTCAAGGAGCAACCGAGCCACGCGCCTTTCATCTCAGAGAGAGGCACAGAGAGTCCCCGCCGCTCGCCGCGCCACTCTCCAAATGGATCCGCTGTAAGCCGCGCTGTCAGCCAGACGACCCGCCCCGCTCCGGAGCACCGCTACCCGCACGCCGCAGGCCACAGCCACTGCAATAGGGCCCTCTTGCCATTGAAAGGCGCGGAGCCAGGCAGCAAGGCGTGGGGCGCAGCTGGAGGGGCGAATGGAGTCGCGAGGCGGGAAATGACGAACCCCTCCACACGAAACACAATGAGACACATTCCAAGATTAGCAGACACGAAATGGAACGACCTACTCCCGCTTCCCGCTGATCGCATTGTCCATGCGTCTCGCGTTCCTTTGTCCATGCTTCGTCGCTTCGTTCGAGCTCAAACGAGAAGTTTCTGCGCGTCTGTGACGACGGCGGGGTATCCTGATAGTAACGAGGTTCTGAAAGGCGTCGTCTTCTGCTGAAAATCCCTGAGCGCGCTGGCCTTTGGCTGGCCTGTCAGCAGGGAGTGACGGCCTATCGTGTTGGTTATCGGCGAGGACGGCCAGGATGGCCTCGTCGGGGCGGGCCGAGGGGGGCCGAGGGGGCCGAGGGGGCCGAGGGGGCCGAGGGGGCCGAGGCGCGGGGCGCCGCGCTGACTCACTCGACCGCCAGCCGTCCTCGCACCTCGTTATCGGCGGCGGGGCGCGGCCCTTGGCGGGGCCCTTGGCGGGCCTCTCCATGTCGGCAAACAGAATCCGCCCCGGCCTCGGCCCCGACGCCGGCCTTGTCGCGCTGCCCGTCGTCCGCCACCTCGACAAGCAGTGCGGCACCGCAGTGCAAACACGAGGCTGCCGGTGTGCTGGTGCTGGCTCCACCGGCAGGTGCTCTTTTCTGGTCGTCCCGTCCGAGCGAGCGCTTGAAGATGCAAGCGCCACCAGGGCCAGGGCGGCGCGCCGGGTTGGCGCCGGGTTGGCGCTCATGCACTTCCGGCCCGGAGAAAGGGGTGCCTGCCGTGTGCGCCTCGATAAGCCCAAGTCGGCCAGCGCGGCCAGTCTCGGCGCCGTCCGCCATGCCGTCGCCCACCAGGCCTCCGCGTTATCGACGCCACTTGGCTGGAGGCAGGCAGCGGATTGCAATAGTGCCAGTGGCGGACGGGGGCTGGGGGCCGCGGGGACGGCGATAGCGCACAGCAGTGCTTGACGGTTGCCGTGTCTGGGCGTGTCTGGCGGCAGGGAGGCCCGGCAGCGGTCAAAATCCCGAACGCGTTTTGACCTCCAGAGTCGTTAAATGGGACTCGAACCGAACGTGTGACCCCACCAATGGATTCCTCGTTCACAGAGAAATCCATTGGTGGGGTCACACGTTCTATTCGAGTCCCATTTAGCGACTCTGGTCTGGAAGTTTTGGCCGCCTCCACCGGTCTTCTGGCCCACTGTGCCGTGAGGGCCAAGGAAGTCTGGCATCGGCATGCGTCCCCAGGGCCGCTGCCGCCGCTGCCGCCGCTGCCGCCGCTGCTCAGGAAGCCAGCGAACAGCGACCCAGGGGAACGGGTCTAGGGACTTGCATGACCGCAGTAATAAGCCCGCCCACTCCCTTCCGGCTCCTGCACTAAAAGGGCCCCTGGAGCATCTCGTGGCCGCCCTGCCCTGGCCGCCGATACACAGGTGCGCCCCGCCCCGCCCCGCCCCTTTGCAATGTTGATAGCGAGCCGGAGTGGCGCTGCGGGCAGCGAGAGAATAAAGGCAGAAAGAAAAGAGCAGACGCGACGAGCCTCAATTCCATTCCATTCCATCACGATATTGGCAACATTGTTGTTTTATTGGAGGTGCAGAGGAGCGTGGATCCCGTCAGGCATGCCGCCCCGCCGCTCCGGTGCTCCTCGCGCGCTGCTCGCGTTGTTGTCGCCTTGTCCAATTTCCGACAGTGCCGCCAAGAAATCCCTCACCGAGCCCTCGCTGCCAAAGTAAACGGCGCGCCGACACGTCGACACCGGCTTGGCCGCGTTCGGCGTCGCACCCTTGAACGCGCCCCGCTGAGGGATGCGGCCTGGGTATGCTCGACCGCGTTTGTGGTTGGGAGTCATCATCCAACGTGATCGAACCCTGAGAACATTGACCGAGTGCGGAAGTCACTCGTTCGTTTCTATAGTGCTTGGCCTAGCACGGCCCGGCCTCGGCGCGGCCTCGGCCCTGGGTAGGATGGCCGTTGTCTGATCCGCACACTTCCATTTCGGGGCTGTCTTGCCTGCCGCTGCCTGACGCCGCCTGCCGCTGCCGCCTTCAAGTCCTGACGGCCGGGCCGGGCCGGGCCCCAGCCGCCACGAACGGCGAACCGCCCCGGCGGCCCCAGTCCCCAGTGCGCCTTACAGTGCGGCGAGCGGCGGGCTGACGTCGTGTCCGTTCAAGGATCCCCGCGCTCCCATTCCGGTGGCCTGACTCTGCGGCCTTCATAATGCACAAGGTGAGGTATGGCTCGAGACGGGCGCGGCGTGGCCGTGGCGCCGGGGAGCCGAGGTATGGTAGCTGTAAATTGGTGTCCGTGGCGCTTTGGCGTACCGTGTTGCTGTAACCCTGCAGCCACCCCCACCCCACCCCCACCCCTCTGAGCCACACGCAACGGTGTAGCAGCGTGGCAGCAGTGGCGGGTCAAGGAAAAGACGGGGTAAGGCGCGCCTCTCCGCGCACCAAACCACCAAACGCAAGTCATAGAGAACCGTCAAAGGGCGTCACGGGGGCGACTCGACACCGTTCTAAAAGTAGTACCTCGTGGAGGAACAGTTCGGCCCATCTCGTGGTTTGGATCGCCCCGGACAATGAAGATGGGGATTGAGGTGCTTGGTGAAGATAATCGTG